TTCTCTTTATGAACTTATCCAAAGGACCCCGTTTTTCCATCTGAAACAAAGAAGTAAGGAGTGCTAAGAATTGAATAAGAAGACAATAATTAACTTAAAACTCAGAGAAGCATCAAACTTAGAATTACAAAGAAAAATTTATTGTGAGTACATCATTTGGAATGAGATAATGCAATGAGATGATACAATGAAATTCGACAAATTCGAGGCCTTTACACTTTTCAGTGACCAATGACTAAGCGCTATAGTCTAAGTTCAGTCAAATTTTTTGTCGGGGGCTGACTAGATTCAGGTAAACCTAGAAACGTTGCGGACCGGCAATTTGTACTCCGGGGACCGGCTTTGAGAAACACTGTCTGTATCTTCTTGATTCTTCATGGGTGCCTGCTGACTAAATGGTATTGTGAGTTGCTAAATTTTTCAAACCTGGATGTGTGGAGTGTTTTAGTTACAGGAGTATGTCCAGTTATTAGCTATTACTGGTTTCCTCTTCTGATCCTTTCCTATGACCTTGACTACCTGTAACATCACAACCTGTCACCACACCTGAGAGTTTACATGGCTCCAAATGCTGCCAATTGCCCTTTGATATATTATTTAAAGAGTGCCTAAGGCTGTGCGGTATCCTGCTTGGAAGATTTTTTTTTGTCTTTTCTCATTTGATCTAGTCTGAGTATAGTCCTTTCTATTCTATCCTCCCATTAATCTAATCCATTGAGTTGTACTCTTGTTCTGGATTCTACTCAAACTCCGCTTGATTGCATCTATCAGGCATTGTGATCAAGTTTGGTACCTTTTTGCCTAAGAGCTGAAAGTTGGTGAACTAGTGATCCCTGTGACTCTCTTTGGTTATCTACTCTATCTCAGTGTGAGTGTTCTGGATTTTCATATTTCAGCAGTAAAACTGTCTTGAATTTTATATTTTTAGAAGTAAAATCAATTTCAAATAGGTAATTAACTCTCATTTGCCTCTCCACAATTGGGAGAAATTATTTTTTCCATCGTGACTGCAATTGCGAAATCTGGATTATGGCAGGAAAGTAGAGCCTATATGTGTCATCCTGATGTAGCAGATGAAGTCGCACGTAAGGTTCCAGAATGGAGAACTCTGGGTAAGTTAACACATGCTATGCATTGAGTCAAGGACATTCAGAACTTTAGCCACATGTTTGTTGACAGCATGAGAGTAACTCAAAAAGCAAAGTCTTTTTATATTTCAGAGATAAGTACCCATTTGAAAATCATTTTAATTCTAGAAATGTAAAATCTAGGCTACTTTCCATTCTGACTTGGTTCTTTGCAGTATTTCTTTAAATTCAACTCAGTCAAGGAAAGTTTTTGAGAATATATTTTATTTATTGTCAACTGTAATGGGTTTGTCTTATTTTAGTAGTTAATTCCTGCAAGTTTAATGTAAATAATTGTCTAGATCTAGTTTCTGTATTTTCTTTAACTAGCATATTTTGTTTAAGTTTATAATAATTTCATGGTAACTTATAAAAAAAAAAACATGATTTATCATGCATGTGTTTTATTACAAAGTTCAGTGATGTTTATTTTAGGTCCTGCTCCTCAGTCAGATGAACACCTTATTCTTGAGATGTGGGAAGATCGGCATTTGTTAAAGCCCAAGCTTTATATAGTAATGAACAGGATGTACCAACCACTGTTAGTTCGAGAACTGATTCTCCTTCAGGGAGCCCCTTCACGGTCATCACTAGAAGTAAGTTTTATAAACAACAAAAAGGCTATAGTTAAAACTAAAATCAAAATCACAAACATATCTACATATAGTGAGAAAGAGAGAGAGAAAGTATGTTTGAATGAAATTATAATAAATAGTAGATGGCTATGGAATAAGAAATTATGAATCTGAGATTTTTAGTTTCTACCACTTACTCTTGTGTATTATGAAATCTTTATACCCCTGTGTACATGTTTTTGTATGTGGTGATTCAAGAAATGGATGTTCTGTTTTTATCATTTAAATTTAACCATTTTATAAAATTATAAAATACTTCTGTCTAATTTTATTGTTTTATTTTTTACCAACTAAACAGTGTATCAAACAAGTCAAAGAAGATAAATTTTGCAATTTTATATATATATATCGCAGTACCGTTATCTGTCCTGGTTGTCAACTTATTGTCATAATGGATAATGTCTCTGGTAATAGCACCCAAATACATAAAGCACAGTAATTGTGATACCATTTCTGTAATATGGAATCAAGTAGGTGTGAAATAAAGTAGTTGTAAAGTAAATAATGCATGAAATAAATTATGCATATAAATACACGTTCTTGATTTTATCTATTAGTACAAGCCCTATGTTCAATACTTATGCCCCCAGACATAGAATGGGTCCTTGGCTTGTTCTTAGATAAATTTAACCATAGAGAGGATGACAACACAGCTTTACAAAGGATGTTCTACAAATTGCACTTATTTAAAAGCCAGTAAAGTTGTGAATTCATGAATTCATTCTTAGATAAAATTCAACATAAAAAAGATGGCAACACAACTTTACAAAGAACTTTCTACAAACTTAAACAGCCAGGAAGCTGATGAAGTACTTGACTCACTGTTAGATAAAATTCATAATAAAAAAATGACAACATGACTTTACAAATGATGTTCTACAAATTGCACTACTAGTAAGCAAGTGAAGTTATAGATTAATTTTTAAATAAAATTTACCATAAGGAAAATGACAATATAACTTTACAAACAGTGTTCTACAAACTGCATTTCTAGTTAGCCAATGAAGCGGTGGACTCATTCCTAGGTAAAAGGCTGGCAGTACAAAAGAGAATATTACAGTATTATCTTTACACTTTAGTGTGGCAAAAGAAGGTTTATTTCCCCATTGCAACATTTAAAATTAGAACTGCATTGTATACACATACAAACTTAAATCAATCATTTTAATCTTTCATTTTACATGATTTTGGTATAGTTAAATAAATTACCAGTTACACTGGATAATTTATTTAATCATAAAAAAAATTATGATGAAAAAGAAATATAGCCAAACCTGCTTACAAGAAATTTGAGGGCAGCAACTCTGTATAATGGTGAGACCAACTGAAGTTTACTTTGAAACATTTTTCAGTTCCATTTCTAAGTTTTAAAATTTAAACCATTTATACAATATGTTAAACTGTGATGAAATATTATACTCTGAAAACCACAAAGTTATTTTTAATTCTGTAGTTTGATCTATCTTTATAAAACACAGACAAAGTGACCACATATAAAATATTGACTGAGTTAATGTGCTGACGAATGTAAAAGCATCCATTAAATCAAGTCTTTTCTCAGCAGTAAACATGTATTAAAGTTATTACAATATCTTAAATCACATAAGTATATGCAATGTAAGGTTTTCACCATAATAGTCTTAACTGAGTCACTATATCACTTAGTTGCTATCATATAAATAACAAATAATCCTTAAATGTCTAGGTGTGTTGGTTTAATGCACCTGTCTTACAGTTTGTTTTAATGTGTTGTAAAAAGACAAAAAAGCAGATGAAATTGTATGAAACATGAGATGGACTTTCTACAGATTATGTAGCTTCTGAAAGCAAAATATATTATTCTTGTACATGATATACATATGAATTCCGATTTTTGGAAATTTAAAAATAATTCTTTGTGAAATGTTTTTAAAGAAGCAATTAAACATGCTCACCTTTGTTGTAGACCTCAATTACCAAATTTTGCCTTCCTACATTTTGTAAAACTTTCCTATAAAGTTTTTTTTTATAAAACTGTAATTTTGTCTTTGTTTTGATTCAAAAAATACTGCACATAGTTTCTATGTATTTATTATAACTGATGTACAATAAAAATAACTTTTTTTTACCATACCAAATTATAAGCAAGCTGACTTTTTTAATTATTAATCAGAAGGTTTCATTTAATATACCTTAAACTTGTTTTATATTCATTTTGGTGATTTTCTATACTCATTCAACCAGTTTCTTAGCCTGATAAAGCCTAATGCAGGCTCAGTCAAGTACAAAATGATATAACTAAACCTAACAATTTTTAATCTGCTCTTGTTTTTGTGGAGAGCATTGTTAACTCAATCTAAATTTCCCATTTAAAAAACTTTTAGGTGTAAAATTAAATAAACAGAACTGTTATATCATATAAATTTAAACTCTGAAGTATAAAATAAATATGTATAAAAATGAGTGCAAGTTTATATTTTATTACATATCTAGTAATTCAATGATACCATTGTGCCTTTGGGCAATGGGTGCATCTCACTGGGTGCCACAGGTTTAAGCTGACAGAAAACTACAGAAACAAGATTGGTTTCTGTCTGGTGCTTGGTACTGCTATTCTTAAACACTAGCTAAATTACAGGGCTACTAAATATAGAAATGTTATTAGTTCAACTTTTTTTTTTTGCACAAACCCACACAATGGACTTCCCTGTGCTGTACCACCTGCAAGTATTGAAACCCCATTTTTAGGATGTTAAGCCCCAGACTCACTGTTAAACAACTTGGGGGAGGGGGGGAGCTTTACTTTTTTTTTAACTGGATATATTACAGACTACGGAAACCATAATAAATATACATAACAGTAAAAATTCAATTTTTGAAGGCCATTTTTTGTACTTTTTCCTTTCTTTTGTTAGCTAATACAGGCTAACCTCAGAAGTAAAAATACCAAAAAGCAGGGATAATAAAAAAAATCACAACAATTGTTTACAACATATTTATATTTAGTTGCATCTTCTAATTTCAAAAAGTAAAACAATATTTTAATGGAATAGGAACACAATTATAAGGAGGTGTTCTGTACAACAGTGATTAATATGAACTATGGCACGTTTATCTTTTCATGCACTGAGCATCTTTTTCCATGGCCACAGACTATGAAATATTTCCTGGCAAACTGCATATGTAAATAGATTTTAAAACTTAACAGGTGAATTTGTGGATTTAACTGATTTTTGGTGAAATAGTTTTAAATGTTGTGAAAACATACTATGCCTAGTTATGGGTGTGCACAAATAAAGATGATAAAAAGATAAAACAAAATAAAAAGGGTTCAGTAAAATCAAAAGTATTGCAAGTTCTAGGTGTTATTTTCAGGAAACTGGTATAATATTTCACTATGCTAACTATGTGGAGTTACATATAGCTTGTTTTTGTGTATATAGATAGATAGATAGCTCACAAACTATTGATTACATTAATTGTAAAATGCGATTAAATCAGCACTATAAAAGAATAATGAATTATATATCGAAATACCATCATTGGTCCTGGTTGTGAACTTGTCATCATAACATATAATGTCTGTGGTATTAACACCCAAATGTGTTGTGGATTTCCCATCTATCAGACAATATCCAAACGCCGATGTCAATCTAATTAACCATCATGGAAAAATAAAATAAAATTCATCAATCAAATAAGGGTACAAAGCTGAGTGCTTACACCCACAACATCTCAGCTTATACTGCCTTTCACTCTCTTTAGCCAGTTGTGGGAAGGCAGTTACCTTTCAATTTATTAAGGTCTAAGACTCTGGAGTCATAAGCTAAACAAACCTATTTTTGATGTGGACATGACCTAGGATAGATATGGCTGGGTAATAGCTGCCTAATGACATGACCCTTGGTGCAATGTATCATCCTACCAAGTTTGATTGAGTTTGATCCAAAGAACACAGAGAAACAAAAACAAATTTTTTATTTTATAAGTATAGATGAGTTCACAACTTCACTGGCTAACTAGAACTGCAACTTGTATAACATGCTTTGTAAAGCTGTGTTGTCATTTTCTTTATGGTGAATTTTACCAAAAAATAATTCTACAACTTTACTGGCTTACTGGAAATGCAATGTGTAGAAAATCCTTTGTAAAGTTCTGTTGTCATCTTCAGTATGGTCAAATTTCACAGTTATTGTGGGAATTTATCACTCATGAATATCTTTTATTTTATCTCAAGCTAAATGAAAATAATTTTAAGTAATAATATATTGTTAATGTTATTTTGAAGATAAAATAATTTCTGTTAAAACTTTTCTAATTAATTTATTGAAATAAACTTTTATATGACATTTAAATCCCATGAGGTGGAAATTTAGTCTTGTGAAAAGACAATGCCGTGGTAAAAATTTCAGCTGTACATTTGCTGCTGTTGAAGATGCTATGTCATTGCTTGTGTAATGGGTGTTAACAGAAATTCATTTTCGTACAACTGTAGTGAATGAAGGCAAGCTATTTTTATTTTCCTAATTTTATAAAATAATAAAAGGAAAGTAAATAAACAGGTTTATAATTATTTACTATTCATCAGTTCTTTAATACTTAAATGATTTAAGATAAAAGTTATCATGCTGAACTTATTTAATGTTTCTGTCATTTTAAAGAAGTTGAACATGATGATTTTACAAAAAAGTTTTACTGGTGTTTGTAATGCTAATCATTGTGGAAAATTTAAAAAGTCAGCTGAAATTTAGAAATATTTATTTGAAACAAACTGTTTTTATTGAAAAACAGTAAACATATAATATTAAAAAGTTGTATTTTAATTATATAATTTCCATTTTTAAAACTTGTAAAAATTACTTAGATATTTTTTTATTACTAAGTAGCCATTTTATAAATAATTGTATTCCAGAAAAAATCAATGAGAAGACCCTTACATAAAGCTCCTAAGTGGCTGCAATCAACATGTGGGTTGATTCTTACTAATCTTTTAATGAAGTCACAAGGACTTCTCACTGTAATTACTGGAGTATTGGAGTCATGTTCAGGCAAGTATTTTTAAACACATTCTAAATATGTAAAATATTGTGTAATCTTACTCAGATTAAATATATTGTACATAGGTCTAAGTAGTAATAGTAGTGCAGTCAGATCTAAGTAGATATACTGCTACATCATAACACCATTCATATAAATATATGGTATATTGAGTGATCTGTGATTGCCAGGTTGAGTGTACATATTTCATAATAAACTGGAAGTGGTTTGGTTATTTCGAAAGAAAAGAAAGGTTCACAGATGATCATTTGTACAAGCACCACAGAATGGTGAAAAAAACAAATTGCTATATTTTTGTCACTTTATTTAATTTTCATATGTGTAATATTTCACAACAGCTGGCAAAACTAATATTTGGTTCATTATTTATATTTAGGCCATTATCCAGGTTTAGGTGAGTTTTCTGTTTTAGAAACCATAAGCCAACTAGTGTTCAAAATTATTATCAAGTAGCAAAATTTTTTTCATGATTTGAACATGTAAGCATGAGAACTTTTACGTTTAGTTTCATTAAAAAAGAAATGTACCAAAAAATGCTATTTAGCCTAGTGTTCTCAAATGTAATATTAAAACCATGAAGTGAAGTCACTTTATTGTTTCAGTTTAGCCCATTTTTGGAATAGGGTAGGGTTGAGCTGACTTTTAATACTAGGTACAATGAATATTAGAGGCTCTATTCCTGACAGATACATAAGAGAGTAAAACTGGAATGATCAAGGAATATATTTCATAAAGGTGCTATTCTTGAAATACATGAATCACATAAGTTTTTTTTTCATTTCAGAAGATATTGACATTTGTTTGTTGGATGAAGTTTTAACTTTTTGCTGATCTCATGCATTATGAGTTGATCATAGTTTGAGATGCAGCGATGTAGCTAGTTGATTGTTCAGCTTAGGTTGTAGGTTACGAATCAAGAGTGCTTCCTTTTTTTCTTAGTGTCCATTCATCTTTCACTGAGTCTATTATTCTGAAGTGTTCATTTTTGTTAGTCTTTGCTTAGGTGGTTGTAAATTCCAGAGTTATTGAAAGGGCTGTTATGTGCATGCTCCTTGATTCTGGCAGCTAAGGTTCAAGTTGTTGATCCAACATAGACTTGCCTGCAGCAAGGACACAAATATTTGTATACTACCAGTGATTTTTTTAAGTTGATATTTTGTCTTTAAACAAGAAAATACAGCATATCTGTTTGTTCGGTTTGAAAAAATCGCTGGTAGTGCCAGAATCAAGGAGCATGCACATAACAGCCCTTTCAATAACTCTGGAATTTACAACCACTTAAGCAAAGACTCTAATGAAGAACCAAACAGTGAACACTTCAGAATAATAGACTCAGCAAAAGATGAATGGACACTAAAAAAAAAAAGATGCACTCCTAATTCATAACCTACAACCTAAGCTGAACAACTAGCCATGTCACTGCATCTCAAACTATGATCAACTCATCATGCCTGAGATGGGACAAAAAAGTGAAAACTTCATCCAACAAACAGATGTCAATATCTCTTGAAATACAGTTGGGTGGGAGTGATCATTGATACTAGGATCAAGGGATATGTTTAATGGAGATCTCCTTTTCAAAGCTACAAAGATTTGGGGTTGAGCCATGATGATTGTGTATATTGGGATCAAGAATTATGTTTAGTAAAGGTTTCCTTTGCTGAAAAGATGTAAAGTTCAGATAAAATGATCACTGGTACTAAAATGAAGAATATAATTAATGAAACCTCCTTTTCTGAAAAAATATAGAGGTAAGATTCAGTGATCATTAATATTAGGAGCAAGTCAATTTTAATAGAAGCCTGATTTTTTGAAAAGGTGTAGGGCTAAAATTGAATGATCATTATAGCTAGGATCAGTAACTAGATTTATTGGAGATCTTTGTTACTTCAATGATATAAAGCTAAAGTTGAATGATCATTAACTATTGATACAGGTTCGGTCAAAATGACTGACCTTGTTACCAACAAGTAACCACGGAAGTATACATACAAGAACTTTTAATTTGGCAAGACTTTAGTAAATATTTGAAGTATTTCATACACAATAAAAACGGATTTTTTTCAGTGTTTTTACTTAGAATTTATCTGTAAATGTGTGTGGTCAGATTCTGACTAGTCTTATTATATTGTGGTTTTCATGTTAAGATTAAAAATACTTGTTTTCATCTTATACTTTTCTGTTTTAATTTGCATAACCTCTAGAACCTCCTAAATGAATGATTTGCAACCAATGATTTAAGAGGAGTTATGTGACACAAATACACAGACAACACTTTTTCAGTTTTATGGTCATTGCTACTACAATGCAAAATTAATATCTTTAACCAAGTTATGAACAAGGCCTACTTGTTTATGTGCTCTAATGTAAATCAATGCCATATTTGGGGTCTACTTTTGGGTAATTCTTGTAAAAGTATTTTTGCAAAATACCTAGATTCCCAAAGGGGTTGGATGAAAAGTTTCACCTTTATGCGAACCTTGAGGTTGAGAGGATTTGTTTGTCACAACTTAGAAGTTGGCGAGTCCGGAAGTTTAGGAGAATGGGTTTTCAGGGAATCACTGGGTTCCCCAAGGGGTGGGGTGAAATATTTTACAGTTGTACAAACCTTGGGACCAAGATGATTCATTTGTTACCATTTAGAAGTTGGTGCATCCAACAGTTTAGGAGGAGTTATGTGACACTCAGTGACACACACAGACCCATTTGCCATACCCACCTATCATAAGCCTTCTTTATCACAAAGTGCCAATAATTCTCTTTGAAATTTGCTAATACATCTTTTAAAATAAATAGAAATACAAAGTTTTAATTTGACAAATGTTATTGCCAAGTTCAGATCGAGTTGTTAAGGGAATTATTTTAAAATACATATGCCTTAGAAAGCTGATTAAATTATAATGGTTACAGGACAATGTTTGCTCTGTGTGCATTATTATTTTGTGTTCTTAAGTGCATTTTTGAAATAAATAAATATTGTTTAATGTATTAGCACTATCAGTAAAAAAAAAACTGCTTTTTTGTGTACAAAAGACTTGTAATATTTAGTAAATGACTTCATTTGATACAATTTCTACATACTTCTAATTTAAGGACAAAAAGATTCCTATTGGTCTCTAGGCTATTCCATCCATTATACTAAACTCTAAAATAAAACACTCAAAGCCCTTATCATTTGAATATTTTTCAAGCCTTTCCTTAAACTCCCTTAAATTAACTGTATCTACCACATCTGAAGGGAACCCTTTCCAAAGGCCAACTAACCTGTTAGGAAAATAAAGCTGTCTTAGCTGGAGATGATTCCTACCCTACCAAAATTTATATTTGTTTCCCCTAGCCTTACCATTCTCACCATTAAGTGCAAAGAAAGATGATGCATTAATACTATCAGTTCACTTAACAATCTTAAATACCTCAATCAGATCCCCTCTAAATTTATTTACTTTTCAAGAGAAAACAGTTCAGAGATCTTAACCTATTCTCATATGACAACCTTTCCAATCCAGGTGTCATCCTAGTAGCCCTCCTATGAACCCTTTCCAATAATTCACTGCCCTTTCTAAAGTAAGGAGTCCAAAACTGAATACAGTACTCCAAATGCAGCATAACCAACAACCTTTGCAATAGCATTATAACCTCATTAGACTTGTATTCAAAATTTCTGTAGATACAACCTAAAATCTTACTTGCACTGCAAAGTACATTATTTGTGTGGCTTAAGAAACCAATCAACCAGAACACCAAGATATTTTTCCTCCATAATATGGTTAAGGTTATTCCCATCAAAATTTACTTATGACCTAAATTGTGATATCTCACATGAATTACCTTGCATTTATTTTAATGAAAACCCATCTGCCGTTTATTCACCAAACTCTCCACATAATCCAAATCATTTTACAACCAGCAACACCCAAAATTTTAATATCATTATCAAACTTAAATAATTTATTGACCATTCCTTCATGTATATCATCAATGTAAATCAAAAAGAGTGAAGGTTCTAACACCGAGTCTTGTGGCACCCCCACTATTGATATTAATCCAGTTTGACTGAACTGCATTTATAACAATTCTCTGCTTTCTTCCATCAAACTAGTTTTCTATCCAATGAGTCAACCTATTCCCCATACCTACAGAGACTACTTTTTTAACAAGCCTTCTATGTGGCATCTTACCAAATGCTTTCTGAATATCCAGATATACCAAATCCACATCTGTACCCAACTCTATATATGCAGTAATCTCTTTAAAGAATATCAAAAAGTTAGTAACGCAAGATTTTTCTCCAGTGAAACCATGCTGACTAACTAATATAATTTTAAACTTTATTAAATGACTTTGCTAAACATCGTTCAGGAATGTGTATCTTGAATGTTTAAGAATTTACTTTAAACATTTTTCCACATTTGATTAGCTGTTACCCAATTCATAGCAGATATATTGTCTTATATTTTCAAAATTTGCTTTTTGAAGCTTGGAAACAAAATTTCATTATTTCTTTTCTCCATAAACTCCAAAACATCAAACCTAATTCAAAAAATGATCACTTGCACCCAAATGCTCCCATCTACACCTTGTCAACCATTTCTGTATTAGAAGTTAATAACAAATCTAATTCATCTGGTGGTCTCTAACAAATTCCAACTAGAAGCCTTTTCCTCTTACAACCACTAATATAAGTGCAAACAGATTCAACCTCATTGCTGTTAGCTATGATATCCTCAATTTGAACAGGATGTAACCTCACATTTCATTACAAAAAGAAACTTTTCTCCCTCTTTTTTTAGTACTCTATTCCTATTAATCAACCTATACTGTATTTCAAAGGAATTTCTGCCATTAAAATTGCCTATATTTAACCATGTTTAGTTATTCCATTTACATCAGAACTCACTTTTTTTCAACCAGTGCTCTAAAGCTGTGTTCCTTGAACACCAGTATTGGTCCATTAAAGCCATTTTGCTGGCTTTTTGGATTTTATGCAGAC